GGTTAAAATTATTAGCAATTCTTGATAACGTGAAACCATTTCATGTTTTTTTTCAGATACACCTCTACCTGGCACGCATCCAGTGGTTATTTTTATAATCCCAAAAGTGGAGGCAAACAAGGGGCCAGAATATTACGAAAGTTCCAGTATTTATTAAACCCCAGACAAGTATTCAATCTTGCCAAGGGAGGACCAATTGCAGGGTAAGTGAGAATAATAAGGTTGGTGAAATTATTCTGTTATAATTTATTTGGTAAATATGGTACAAGGAATTTTGTGGCAGTTAACATTTTTCTGGGGTCCTACAACACCAAGCGTCAGTGGCTCTCTTGATATTTTGTCTATACTAATGCCATAAAATTATTAAAACTTCTAACACCGGGAATTAAACAGTGTGTGTGAGGGAAATTGGACCATTTGTGAAACATAGTACAATTCTACTCTATCTATTGTGTGTAATAATGGCACATATGTTTGTCACCAATAAGTCAAATACAATGAACCTAAAAAGGGTACAAAACTGGTAATATACAAACGATTAATTCCAGTGTCAAAGTCAGTGTCAGCAGGCAATGTATGTGTTATAAAATCTTTGTAAAAATGACAACCTTTTATTTGAATGAAACCACATAATTAGTTCCAAAAGCAATAGCGAATCTCTCTTGAATTTATAATTTAGCAACATTTTTTTTCTTTCTTTCTTCTTCAGTGTACATACTCTATTAAACAGATTAGCCTTGCAGCTTCACGCAGAGGTCTCAAATATCAAATTTTGATTTTTAGACTACATCTGTACGTTTTTAAGGCTTTGATGGCTTTGTTTTTATTTTGAGTATAAATTGTCATATAAATGTTGATGAAGACCTGTTGGCAACAATGTATATTGAGTTAAAAGTAACACATTATAAAAAATATAAATACTTCAAAATGTCAGTGGGAAAAAGTTAATATCAATTCAAATATATTATTAAAATATTATATTAATATTAATGCTGTATTTTTGGTACAAGTATGCTTTATATGAATTCAAATCTTGATTTTCATGATGTATCTGCATAGTGGATACACTGTCTCTGATTGATTGTGCCCCCTAACCTGGTGATTATATACATGATGATGTGCTGAATCAAATAAGTAATGATGCCCTATGGTCATCTAAGTATTCAGTACACCCACGCTATTATAAATACATGTACTAAATTTATGACTAACAAACGTTATTAACAAAGAATTCTTGGTCATAAGATTCTGATAATTGAATTTTCTGTAGTTGGCGTTAGCACAATTTGCTCAACTATCGTCCAATTAAAGTTTGCATATTCATAACTTTATTTAGGATGAGTTCTTAATTCCACAAAGTCATAAAGAGACCAGACATACTTTTGAATTGTTTCTGGTTACTATTTCTGTCACTGGCATATTGTTTTGAACACCAAAACAGCAACGTATTGCCAGCTAAGCTGCTGATTGTTACATGATTAGAACTGGTTAGTTCAAACCACTTTCTCAAATGTGTGCCGTTTAACTGAATGCACTCATTTACGAGTGTTATGACACACACCAGTGATACATTTTTTTTGGATAACTTTGATATTTATTATATAGAAATCATGAATGAAATAAATTGAAAAGTAACCGCATCACGGTCTTCTATTTATATTCAACATGATCAAACTCTCATTATTAGTTTGACGTCTCCTGCTGAGATTGGTTGAACCCAACTTGTTCTAATTGCGTATCAATCTCTTGACATGCATAGCAAACAAGTCAGCAACTTAGCTGGCAATGTTGCTGTTTTGATGTTTAGAACAATATGGTGGTAACAGTATGGTGAAATGTGATTGGCTGATCAATTCTAACATCTAGACCTTATTATACTACCAGATGGCTAAGCACATGTTGATATATTTGACATCACAGTCACTGGACTAATGTTCAAAAATAGAACAGACCAAACTATTATTTTTAAGCTGACTACCTGGCAGTATGTTTTCACTTTCAATTCTTTTCCCCAATGATCTAGTGCTTGGCTGTTATACATGTATATAGACAGTAATGTTTTCTCCTCCTTATTTTTTTAATGAATGGTTTACACCCCAAACATTGTGCCTTGTTCTTTGAGTTTGCTTTGGTGTAATATTTTCAGTCTTTTTATCCTGGCTGTTTATTTTTACTTCTACTGCACTCCACAATTTTGTGAGTATTTTTATCTCTAGATACCATCTTATGTAATAACGCAATAGTCAGTGAGTAGCTACTACTGAATCTATAGTACTTGTTCTGATGCTTGACTGTCATGTATGTGACTTGATTGCGTCATGTTTGTAATTTTTTTACAAAGTATACTCGAGATTTGTTCTGTAAGCAAGAACCCACCAAACAGAGGTACCAAATGGTGATTGGTTTCCATGGCAATTGGTTTATGGAAATTCTTTTCATAGTGATTGGTTCTTATGGCAGTTGGTTTCTGTGGCGATTCATCAGTTACTATTACCACATATTACACAGTTTTCCAACAATATGTCACATTTGATAAAAAGAAAAGCCAAACTAATTTGTTTACCAACATCAGATTGGAAATAAAAATGTTAATTCAAATGAATTAAGGACATAGTTTATTTACCATCAGAGTATCTAATGGTCTACCACTTCATCTTTTGAATACATGTCTAGAAAGAATACCTAAATATATTGCGTAATTGAGTTAATATTGGGTTAGTATATAGTGTGCACTACAAGTGCTGCCAATTAAACGCATCTGTGAATAACTAGAATACATTATATCATGAAGGGAATAATAAAATAGAGCATTACTGACTAGAATGTGTATTAAGACTGATTGTGTCTAGTCTATATTGAGTTGATTACCTTATCACTGTAATAAATCAACCAAGTCATGGTGTATTATTTAGGTCAGTGTAAAGGATATATAAATTGAAGTCAATTTATGGTTGGCAGTTTTATGGTCCATGTATGTCAGTGCAGATCTAATGTTAGGGATACTGAGGGTAGTAAGTACTCATCTAGTCTACCAAAGCTTTAGTTTTATTGTAAAATTGGAGAGCAGGACTGACCCAGTGTACAAAACTAGTTTTATTGTAAAATTGGAGAGCAGGACTGACCCAGTGTACAAAACTAGTTTTATTGTAAAATTGGAGAGCAGGACTGACCCAGTGTACAAAACTAGTTTTATTGTAAAATTGGAGAGCAGGACTGACCCAGTGTACAAAACTAGTTTTATTGTAAAATTGGAGAGCAGGACTGACCCAGTGTACAAAACTAGTTTTATGGTCAAATTTATTGGTTCTGCCTTTTTCTATGTAGTGTCATTTTAATGACCTAACCAGGTCTGATTGGTCCTGCCTTCTCCTATGCAAATTTTTTTAGTTTTGGTGTAACTAAATTGATACATTGTGCAAGATATTTTATTGAACACTTTCATACCCACTTTTTGCCAGGCAAAAAAAAGATAGTAGATTGTTTGTATCCATCTATCCATTTGTTGCTTAATCTTTATTCTCAATTGGTAAGGTTATTATGATTATTTCACATTTAATTTAATTTAGCGAATTTCAACAAAAATAGGAAAATTAAAAAACAACAAAACATAATGCATTTACAGTGTGTTTCTTCCCCAATAAAATTCTTTAGTTCAGAGAATTTATTACATGTGGATAGAAGACAATGAAAGCTCTCAGAACTTAACACAAATATGACAGGGAGAGTTATTATTTCTTCAAAAGTATTTGTTTTTTTGCTTGTCCCAGTGTTTACATGTTTTTATGACACAACAAATTAACATATGAGCCTGTAACACAATTCTGAGATGCTGGGAAATTTTGTTTCTGTATAAAAAATTTAAAAAGTCATCATATGAAGGTAATGCCATGAATACATCACAATACTTGCACTAATTACCTGCAGGCAGACTCCTAGCTGTTCGTCATATTTTTTTTAAATTGAAATGAGAACTTAATAAGAAAATTCTCACAAGGGAAAGAAAAAGTTGATTTACAAATTAACAATATTAAAATTGATTTGTTCACAAATTACAATATTAATATTTCAGAATGATAAGTAATGGAATGATTATCATTTTATTGATACTCATAATTAATCTGAATATATCGATGATACATCCTGTCAACAAAATGTATGACTGTTATCATTTATAAGATTGTTGATTATTAATTAAAAAACCCTTCTTTAAATAAACTAATTGAAAGTTCATCTATAATCCTGTGAAATATAGATCTATGTTTGGAATGTTTTAATATTCATTCTGCATTATTTATCAACATTTGTGCGCTATGTGACAGTTCCAGAGACTTATGTTTCCATGATCCACACTCTGAAAAAAAAAAGACAATAATCAATCAATGATCAGTTTATTTTATCTGGTGAACAAACAATTTGAGCTTGAGTTACTTTCCTGGTTACTCTGTATCCTTGGTGATATAGATGTTGGCTTTTCATCTCAACTTAATCCTCCAAGATGGCTTGCTATATTACCTTAGACATGATCTCAGGGATCCATTACAGTTACAACAAATCAAAAAATCTTGTTACTGCTTCTGTAAAGGAGTTGTGTATCTGTTTTTGGTTTTAATAGTTTGTTTTTCTTAGAGAAGATGGACTATGATTCTTCATTCTTGCATTTTGAGATTTGACATGCTGCAATGTGTTATCAATTTAAAATATTTGTATTCCATTTTTTTAAAGAATTATTGTTAATTTACAAACTAAATATATTTTTCTCTTTCACAGGTTGAAATTTTTCAAAGATGTTGTTAATTTTCGTGTTTTATCTTGTGGTGGTGACGGCACAGTAGGATGGGTGCTTGATTGCATGGGTAAGTTACCATGGTGATGCAATTATATTAACAAGTCAATACACATGCATCATTATTCAGGTCATTGCATAATCTGGGCCACACTTGAGTTACTACTATATATTTGGTCGCAGGACAATTGATGTCATTGGTCAAACTGTACACACAACAAATAATTTACATACATATACATGTATGTATCAGTACTGGGTATATGTACCGATATATATAAAGAGCCCGGAATAGTGCTGCTCGTCTCATTACAACAAAGTAATCCTGGTAGAACTCTTCGCTCTAGCAAAAAGCAATTACTCAAATTACCAAAAACCAGACATAAATCATATGGTGAGCGTTCATTCTTTCATTCATCTTCTTCACTATGGAATCATCCACCATAAGACATTCCAAGATTAAAAACTCATGTATTTTTGCAAGCATTCCTGTGAACTGTGAGCGTCATTGTGCATCATTTGATGAATATCAGGCGCTATATTAAACTATATATTATGATATTATTATTATAATCAGTAATGATTTATCAAGAGCAGTGCAATAAAAGTGAGACTAATGACCACCCATAACATTGTAGACATTATGATTATAACAGTTGCAATTGTAGATGAGCATCTTATTTATTATTAAAATTATATGGTTAGTGATAATTATATAAAGTGTAAAAATTAATTGGTAAATTATTTACAGTAAAGCATTATTTCTGGTAGGTTTTCACTCCTGAAGCTCATTTTGTTTTTCATTCATTTGCATAAGTATTGTCTGTCATGTGTAGTTATGGGATAGATATGAGACGATAAGATTTATACTATGGTTTTAGTATGTGCTGTTGTTCACAAAACCAAGATAAAAATACATGATTACTAAACTACTTTTCACATGAAACATGTTCAAACATCCATGAAAATGGTGATTATGGAGAGATTTTACCGCTTGTTTTGATAAAAAATTATGTAACACATTGCTCTTGTTTAATACATGTATGTTGAAATCCCTTGAATGGTCTTAATGCCAAAAATGATCCACCCTGTATATGTATGTGGCTTTAATGTAAACTGTTTTTGAATATTTTTAAATCCATGATAAGCTTCATGATAAAAACTATTCGGCAGTCTTTTTGCACAACTATATAAGGTGAAATCCTTATTATATGCCCCTTTTGTCGCCCTTATATTTCATTCATTTAAGATTACTTACTCAAACTCTGGAAAGCAGGCTCGACTAGCTTCGCTTATAGCTATTCCTGCTTCCCAGTCATATTATACATATTTACTTAGACTTTTGTTCGTTTATTTATTTGTTTGTTTGTTTGTACATTTATTCATTTATTTATTTATTTATTTACTTACTTACTTTCTACTGTAACTATTTTCACTTTGTATAATAGGGGAAATAAAGCAACATCAACAACATTCTTTTACATTTCTGTTTTGTTTTTCCAACAGATAAAGTTCAGATGGCCACAAGACCATCAGTAGCAGTTCTTCCATTGGGTACGGGTAATGATTTGGCAAGATGTCTCAGATGGGGCCCAGGTTAGTCTCACCTCATTGATTGATCAGAGTCACATGGTATTCAGAATCTTACAGTTTATCCAGGTTCAATATTTAAATTGAAATATACATGAGATATTTGCTGTTTGAAAGTTGATGTATGTTCTCTTAAAAAGGTTTATTCAGTGTAAAACCATAAGTTTAAAATAGTAATGTGTTATTCACACCAGTTGACTTTCTCTTCATTTGTGATGGCTAATAAATAGTTTACAATTAGTTAATACGACTTATGAGAGAATTATCTGGTGGTCTTGTTATCTCTTAACCAGAACTAAGATACTGTATTATTCTGAGAACTGATAAATTTAAAAAATAACTATATATGGGTTATATATAGTTATTTTTTAAATTTAACTGATAAAGTTAAATGGCCGCCTTTCATTAAATTAACCTGTAAAAAAAATTGATTAGAGCCAATGGGAAATAATGTCCATTTGATCCAAAATTAAAAAAACTAAAGAAAAATGCATACTGGTGAGTGTGTTACACCATCATTTAGACAAGACAAATTCTTGCATTCAAAGGGTGAATCACGGTTACAGTGTTCTCTTTTTGCAGGATATAAAGGAGAAAGTTTGAGTAAGATTCTTGGGCAGATAACACAGTCAACAACAGTAATGATGGATAGATGGAAGGTAGAACTGAGTACGACAAATGATAATGAACAAGGTGATCCTATCCCATATACTATCATCAATAATTACTTCTCAATCGGATTGGTAAGTTAAAATGGAAGTGAGCAAAGACTTGCCAATGTACCCCTTACCCTAACTCTAATGCTAATCCGCAGCCCTCTCCCCCAATCAGTTGTGTATGCCCCTCTAGATAAAATAGGTTTTCTCAAGATTGGCATATACAATTAATTTGATTGGGACAAGTATTATAAAAGGTGTTGAGGTCAGGTTAGAGATAGGGTACATTAGAAAGTATTTTCAGAAGTGATGTCATAGAAGGAAATATTGCAATAATTGTGATGTTACATTAGGTCATGTTGTAATAGGTAGTGATGTCATAGCAAGTATATAACTCTATGGAACCAGGTTTTGACCAATCATGATACAGAATCTAGAAATGATGTGTGAGAAATTGTATTATAACACATAACTCACTCAAACTGTTCAATAGTTGGTTGACACTGTGTCATGTGGTGTTGACTATATTAACATAGTAGCCAGGGAAATTACTAGTTCTGACAGAAGTGATGTCATATCAGAGTCATATTGTAATAGGAAGTGATGTCATAGCTGAGTCATATTGTAATAGGAAGTGATGTCATAGTAGTATATTGTGTGAGTATATGATGCCATAGCAAAGTAATATTGTAGTATGAAGTGATGTCATAGCTCTCATATTGAAATAGGAAGTGATGTCATAGCTCTCATATTGGAATAGGAAGTGATGCCATAGCTCTCATATTGGAATAGGAAGTGATGTCATAGCTCTCATATTGGAATAGGAAGTGATGTCATAGCTCTCATATTGGAATAGGGAGTGATATGTGATGACTTTTATTATTGAAGAGTGTTCAAAATTGTTTCTATCATTTAAATTAAGGATGCACAAATTGCACATCGGTTCCACACTATGAGGGAAAGGCATCCAGAGAAGTTCAACAGCAGAATGAAAAATAAACTTTGGTATTTTGAATTTGGGACATCAGAAACATTCTTTGCTAGTTGTAAAAATTTACATGAAGATGTGGATGTCATGGTGAGTACTTGCATTTATTCTGATCTGTTAGAATTTTGTATTATTCAATCATAAGGACAATGAAAAATTTAGATAACCAAGTACAAAAAGTTGTTTCTATGTTCACTTGACTCGTATATAACAAAGAAATTGTTAAAAAATACAAACTTTGGTGTCTGAATTTGAGCAAAAAAAAAGTTCTCAGTATTTGTGTTAGTATTTGTATGTGATATCGTGTGTAATATTACTTACATTTATGAAACTGATAAAATAAGGTGTTTAATTGTTTTTAATATGGTGTTTTTAGTGTGATGGTGTATCATTGGATTTGGCAAACGGGCCCCCATTGCAGTGTATTGCATTGCTGAATATACCTAGCAGCCATGGAGGTACAAACTTATGGGGTGATACACCGAAGAAACGTCGTAGTCGCCAATCTAAGAAACCATCAAAGAAAAGAGACTGTGACAATCAAGCACATCCTACTTTGAGTTTGACTTCATCAGGGGATCTTCAATATGCAACTCAGGGTAAATTAAATTCCATACAGCCTATCATATTATATGATGAATTTCAAACAGCCAATCACACTCAATGCTAAATTTAAAACAGCCAATCATACTCAATGCTAAATTTAAAACAGCCAATCATATTCCATGCTCAATTCTAAACAGCCAATCACACTTTAATTTAGTTAAAATACTTGAGGCATTTTGTTTAAGCAGGACAGTTCTGGACATTTATAGCAGTCTGATACTACAATCAATGTGGTATTACTATTTTATTTAATTATCCTTCATAAATGAAAATTTCACTTCACTGGCTTTAGAATTATAAAGTCAACCATACATCAAGTTTTATTCTAGCTATTACCCAATTATGCTACAAGATATGTGCCATTCATAGTTATCAAAATAGTCTTTGTTTTGCATTTCAAACACCTTTTTATTGAAAAATAGTTATTTATACAAATAATATGTGATGACATCATAGGCTATTTATAGACATCAGTTTGGTAATAACAGTGATATAAAACACTTTGTTTATACCTTTTAACTTAGCAACCTACTTTGTATGTGCACTCTTAGCCTAACGTTAGCAGATTTGTTTCTCACCAAATTATAATTTATAATTACAATTTTATTTATTTATTTGTTTGTTTGTTTGTTTGTTTGTTTATTTATTTATTTATTTATTTATTTATTTATTTATTTATTCATTCATTCATTCATTCATTCATTCATTCATTTATTTATCCAACAGAATTTGATATTACATGCAGGTTTAATCTAATGATTTTGAAAAATGTTATCAGAACTACTTTGTGCAGCTCATCACAACCTTGACCTCATTACTCACAAAATCAATACACTTTCTCCATATTTTCTGTAATAGCATTGATCATGATTATTTAAAAAATAAAACTGACTTATGATATTGATAACCTCACCTTCATTGCTGATGTATTTTCCAAACAAATCTCTTACACCCCAACATAATTTGCTGTTCTAGTTTTGTTAACTGTTATGCTATAAAATGCTGTAAACTAGTAGTATTGGTCAACTAGACCTTCATGGATCAGTTATGTTAACCTCCTGGACTAGTTGGCCCAAAATGATGGTGGACCAAACTATAATATAAAACACAGGGACCAGTGAACTTTATTATGGATTAATGTTGTTAACCACCCAGATAGTAATGTTGACCACTTAGTCTAGTGTTGTTGACCACCCAGATAGCAGTGTTGACCACTTAGTCTAGTGATGTTGACTACTTAGTTAAATGAAGTTGACCACTTAGTCCAGTGTTGTTGACCACCCAGTTAGCAGTGTTGACCACTTAGTCTAGTGTTGTTGACCACCCAGATAGCAGTGTTGACCACTTAGTTCAGTGATGTGGACTACATATAGTTAAATGAAGTTGACCATTTAGTCCAGTGATGTTGACGACCCAGATAGCAGTGTTGACCACTTAGTCCAGTATTGTTGACCAGATAGCAGTGTTGACCACTTAGTCCAGTCATGTTGACTAGTTAGTTAAATAAATTTGACCACTTAGTTCAGCAATGTTGACCATCTTGTCCATGCCCATCACAAGAAGCTCACACGTAAACTTTAAAACAGAACATAAAAAATAAATATGATTTCAGTGTATTAAATATTATGTTTTTTAAATATTATTCTGATTTTACTAGATATTGGTGATAAACTTATCGAGGTGATTGGACTGGAAGGAGCATTCCACGTTGGACAGATACGTGCAGGACTCAAAGCATCAGCACGAAGATTAGCCCAATGTGCATCGGTCACAATAAGGACACGTAAAAAATTTCCTATGCAGATTGACGGAGAGCCTTGGTTACAGTCACCTTGTACTGTGAGTATTCCTCTTTATTTACCCATAATAAAGTTTTGCATACAATAATATTTTTAGTTTAGATAAAATAAAACAAACTGGCAGTCATTTTGTTATAACAATTAAAAATTGATGTTGTATTTAAAGAGTGGTTGTCGTCTTCCTGCGTTCTTTTTGATATGGGACTCATAGCGAGGTATACAACGCGTGTAAAATAAATTGTTTTGTTTTTACATGAAATTCAAACATGCGCTGCTCGATGACCACCGCCCTTTAAATTGCATGCTCTATTTGTTTAGAACAGTTACCAAATAGTTATTGAGAATTTTAATAATTTTTGATTGTTATAGCATTGTTTTTCATTTTTTTATAGATATCTATTACTCACAAGAATCAAGTTCCAATGTTGGTAGCACCCTCACCAAGCAAAAGACAGTCATTTGCCAAACTATTCAAGAAAAACCTTGACCCACTACCTGCCCTCGAAGACTGATCCTGATATCCCTACATAACAAGTATTAGATTGAATTTGCAGTAAGTTTGGACCAATCATTGTATACATGGGGGAGAAGGGAATGTATTGAGAAAGTATTCCGCTCAGACTAATTGATTGGTGAAGTGAAATGTTAAGTGGAATAATAATTAATGCATCCCCGATACCTTACCCTCCCACCCTATGTATATAATGGTTGGTACTGCATGGAATAGTAACATTATTACAAATTCATTGTAAAGATGCAAGAAGCCAATCAGTATTAACTTTCAGATTGAGATAGAAGACTTTACGTAAATTGTATTATTAAACGGATTCAGCTTGGAACACAAAGTGGATGAGACAGTCACAAGCTCTTGGACGGGCTGCTGCATTGATTATATGTAAAAAGATTTCAAAATATGTAAATTGTGCTCCTAGTTATTGGTATATAGTGTACATCTATCACAGTACTGTAATGTCAGCTTTATTTGTTTAAAAAACACATAAAATGATGACTAAATTAAGTCTTTTTGTAAACCTTGTGAGTGTTCCTGCTGCCCAAATTACCAGTTTTGTTTTCTGCATGGTGCTTGTAAACCTTTGATGCTTTTGTATTATGGGTAATTGCTATGTCACCATTAGTTAGTTGGTCACTGTGTCAGCATTTTATGTGCACTCTAAATTATGTCATCAATTTATGTGCACTCAAAATTATGTCATCAATTTATGTGTATTTCTAGATTGCTTGCTTATGGTGTATGTGTTACTGTGTTGGTATTTTGAATTTCTTTGAAACTGTAAATATAATATACATTTGTGAAGGAAAGCATCTCAGTATTTACTTAGTGAAAACAAATATAACCACTTTCATCCTAAATTTTGAAACTTATGCAAATTAGTCTGCACTTTAACTTTTACCTGTAAAATAGTCTATTGTTGAATTAGCTTAATTATTCACAGAACTGTGAAGAACACAAAACTAGTGCTTTTACAAAGTAGGTTACATTTTTTTTAATCTCTGAATGAATTTTTCCAGTATTCAGTTCAGTATTGTCCCAAGCATTGGGTGTGTTTTTGTGAAATCACTTTCTTGGGTTGATCCATTTTCAGGTAGAGGGTTGGCCATTGTACTTGAAGAGTACTCGATGGTATTTTTTTTAAATAAAACAGGTCATTTTTTTTAAATTTAAATCAAGCTTTCCCAAATTAAAATTCTAGATAATGTCTCAGCTTTAAATTTGTTAACAAGTTTATACACCCCCTTACTAAATGGTTCAGCCCTAAAGGCAGATGTGGGGAGCAGGCCTTTCATATAGCATATTGAAAACAGTCACATGATGGTCATATAATAGACACATGATCATACATAGTAGTTTCAGAAAAGAGGAAACTACACCAACTGTTTATAATAGTGATGTAGTTTGCCCCTTTGAATGTCATACATATTATCCAGCATTTCCACATTTTTGTGTATTTTGTTGTTTTTTTTGTTAATTTTGGACCAATTGCACATAGTTATATTATAGGCTATAGGATTTGATCAAAGATTTTTGAAAAAAAAGTATGCAGATTATTTTGTAGAAGATGACAAAAGTTGACTTTGGCATTTGAAAGGTTAAAAGTCAAAAGGTTAAGGGTTAAATGATTAGGGTCAAAGGTCAATATAAAGGCTACATTGGATAATATGGTAAATCTTGAACATTTTTAGAATTTAGTCTAAAATATGCTTTTGTGAGAGAGATCTTAAACACCATGTATCCAATTTCACTGTATGCATTCATGCTTACACACCCTATAACTCCAAATGTATTTCTGTTTTCCAACTTTATCTTGTCAGGAAGAATTTAGTTTTGTATATACTAATCTGAATTTTAATTGCATTTGAATATTTGTGTGGTTATTGTGAAATCACTGTTATGGCTGCCCACTTATGAGGAGTGATACCATTATAGTCAATGTGAACTTCTTGCTACTCACAGTATTAATTGACCCATTTACCGCCATTTTCATGTATCCTTCCTCCAAAGAATCTCATACAAACTATACTTGTTTTCTGATCATTTTAGAACACAACTAAAATTCTAGTACTTCACAAAAATTGTCTTCAAAATAAAAACATAAAAAAATATGATCAATTGTGGCGGTAAAAGTGTTGATAAATTAAATTAATGTCTGGGACAAAATGGAAATGAATTTAGTGTAATTCTATAAAATTAAAAATTCTATTCAACGGTTATTGTAGAAATTTTAAAAAAATTAAATAATAAATAATGTTGATAAGTCTAAATAAGAATTGTATGAAGATTGAATTTTATACAATTTAATGTCTTTGGGGGTTTGTTGTGTTTTTATAAATGTGTTTCTTTTATGCTCTTTGAAATCAAAACACTTATTCCTTGGTTCTAGTATAAACATATCCACTAGAATTGGTATTTTCATTTTTGTATATATTTTTTTTATAGAATTTTTTTTTTAGATAGCTATATTTTTTTTTCTTTATTCAAACTTTCCAATATGTATTGTACTTCATTGAATCAGAAGATGTGAGTATCAAGTATTAACTCTGCCCTCATTTATGGATTGTCTCACTCTATAGCATCTTGGGTTGAATCAGAAGGGAAGTCAAAATAAAAATACTCATTATAAAAAAAATTACCATCACACAAAACTCTTGGTGCAAAAATGAGATTAACACTTAAACTTAGTCAATTTCTTTACCCTTCAGTTTTAAACCACCTGCTGTCTTACCTTTTTGGCATAGAATAATAATCTTTGTGAACTAGATACAGCTTTTGCAGCCCAAGGTCTTGCGGTGGGAGCAGCCGAGCATGCGAAGATACATAAGCCGTACGACCAATGGCAGTAAAAACCATTTCCAGTTTTATCATATACCTTATAGGTGTAATTACAATTTTACCACCTTGTGTTTTGATTGACAAAAGTCGGGTGTGATACAGTAAATTATTGTACACTTTCCATAGCGTTATGAGGCCAGGTAATGCAAGGTATAAGCCAATGATAGCCAATGATACATCTTACCTTCTTTATAATAACATTGGCCAATCTTAACCCACCAGCCAGTGCTCATCATACCATCTTACCCACCACCTAATTCACCAGCCATCTTACTATCTATTAGTAGAACGACCCAGTCCTTATCCGCCAATCATCTTCCATATTTTTCTTTCCCATCTGATTGCAGTCAAGAGTGTGTTAGCTTTGTTTATTGCTATATACTGCCAACAGTGTGTCTTCAATTGTTCCAAAAATTCTTCTTAACTTTCAAAGTTGACTCCTCAACAGTCCAAAATATACTACAAATCTAAAAAAAACTCTTGTTATATTTTTTGCATTCCAATATTGGTTTCTGGGGACTACCCACAACATTTTTTTAGATATTTAAAGCATTTATTTTTATCTTATTTTTTTTAAATTGAGATTAATTAACATTATTATTACATATTATGGAGTATACTGATTTTGAATTACAAATAATTACAAATTCTATCTTGATTAAACACAAATTTTATGATTTCTGGTTAAAACATGATAATAGCCTCTAATTAATAGTCCTGTATTGCAACCATGTCTGGATTACAGCTGTGCATATATTACCTGTATTACAACCATGTCTGGATTACAGCTGTGCATATATTACCTGTATTACAACCATGTCTGGATTACAACTATGTATTTATTACCTGTATTACAACCATGTCTGTATTACAACTATGTATTTATTACCTGTATTACAACCATGTCTGTATTACAGCTGTGCATTAATCACCTGTATTACAACCATGTCTGTATTACAACTATGTATTTATTACCTGTATTACAACCATGTCTGTATTACAACTATGTATTTATTACCTGTATTACAACCATGTCTGTATTACAGCTGTGCATGAATCACCTGTATTACAACCATGTCTGTATTACAACTGTGCATGAATTACTGTTACATCCATGCCTGTATTACAACTGTGCATATATTACCTGTATTACAATCATGTCTGTATTACAGCTGTGCATGAATCACCTGTATTACAACCATGTCTGTATTACAACTGTGCATGAATTACCTGTATTACATCCATGCCTGTATTACAACTGTACATATATTACCTGTATTACAATCATGTCTGTATTACAGCTGTGCATGTATTACCTGTATTACAACCATGTCTGTATTACAGCCATGCATTAATTACCTGTATTACATCCATGCCTTTATAACAACTGTGCATATATTACCTGTATTACAACCATGCCTGTATTACAACTATGTATTTATTACCTGTATTACAACCATGTCTGTATTACAACTATGTATTTATTACCTGTATTACAACCATGTCTGTATTACAGCTGTGTATGAATCACCTGTATTACAACCATGTCTGTATTACAACTGTGCATGAATTACTGTATTACATCCATGCCTGTATTACAACTGTGCATATATTACCTGTATTACAATCATGTCTGTATTACAGCTGTGCATGAATCACCTGTATTACAACCATGTCTGTATTACAACTGTGCATGAATTACCTGTATTACATCAATGCCTGTATTACAACTGTGCATATATTACCTGTATTACAATCATGTCTGTATTACAGCTGTGCATGAATCACCTGTATTACAACCATGTCTGTATTACAACTGTGCATGAATTACCTGTATTACATCAATGCCTGTATTACAACTGTGCATATATTACCTGTATTACAATCATGTCTGTATTACAGCTGTGCATGTATTACCTGTATTACAACCATGTCTGTATTACAGCCATGCATTAATTACCTGTATTACATCCATGCCTTTATACACTGTGCAT